CGTCACCTTGCCCACCCCGCTTCTCGAGCACATGGGGTATCTCCCTCGTGCAAGCACAGCCCCGGCAGTGAGGACGGCTCTGCTTAGAGAGACCTCCTGGCACGGCCTGAGGAAGACTTCCTGGAGGAGGCAGCACAGAGGGTTTTGACCCCCATGTGCGTGTCACCAGTTATGCCCACAGAGCACTGGGGTCTGAGGGAAGAGCACGTGCAAAGGCCCAGAGGCATGGTGGGTTTGGATGCTGGCAGGTGTTCCCTGTCCCTAAGAGTGGACATGAGTGTGGGGAAGGGAAGCCCTGAGGTCACGGGGCGGTCAGGGTTTTGGTCAGCTGGGCCGTTGCTGGGTTGCTACCTGGGCTGAGTGTTTGGAAACAAAGAAGAAACAGGCCCAGATTTGCATCATGGAAAATCTGAGCTTTGGGCCAAGCGGAGGGGTGGAGGATGGGCAGCTGGATGGGAGGGGCTGATGGCCAGGAGGACCTGACTGGGGATTCTCCAGAGACCATGGGGTCGCAGGTCTTGTGGGGTGCGACTCCCAGACAGGGAGGCCTGGGGTCGCCCTGTGCAGGCGCTGAGCTCCTCCGTGGCCCGCTGGCTCCAGGGCAGTGGAGAAGGAAAGCCGCTCGCCAGGAAGAGAAAAGCCCAGATTCCTCAGTGTGTCCTGCCCCAGAGTCCAGTGTGGAGGCCTGCTCTGGCCTCCTGTCCTCCCACCACCCGCCTCCCTCCCCCAGGCCCCAGCACGGCCAGACGCCGTCCACCAGCGGTGCCGAGAGCCCTTTATCAGATAATAAATAAGGCGGCTGGAGCCGTCCGTGTCAACATCTTGGCGGGCGTCGCAGGGCATTGGTGGGGGTGCTGCCTGCCATGGCCTCCGAGTGGTCGTCAGCCCGGCCACCCCCACCCCGGCTCCAGCAGGACTGTAGGGCTCAGCCAGCCCCCTCCCCTTTGGGGCCGGTTCAGCGTCTGCCAAAATGCACACGGGAGGAAAGATGGGGACCCCTGGCGCCACAGCCATGCAGCCTGGGGGGCACCTGGTCTCTGGGCCTCCGTTAGCCAAATGGGGGTCCACTTGGGGGCTAGGACCCCGAGGCCTGGCCGTCCTCTGTCTGAGCGCCTGTCCGCATGCCCTGGAGGACGGCTGCCCGGGCCGCCACAAGCCGTCCGCGGTCTGCGGCAGAGGAAGGCAGCAAGAAGCTATAAAGCCATCGTCCCGTCCCCGGAGACAGGGGCCGGCTGTGTCTGGTGGCAGGATGGTCTGTGTTTGATGATGGTGACAGCAGCAACTGTTCTCTTCTAAGAAATGTCCTTATTTGGTCAAATACAAAGTTGGTACCCTGCATTGCTTACCCCAAAGGACCATTTTCCCTTCTCAAGAAGCATGTTCCATTTTTCAGATGAGCGCCTCAAAGAATTTGCGCCTGTTTGTCAATGAGCTGTCTCTGGTGGTAGCCCAGGCCCCCTGGGCCCCCAGAAGCCCTCGGGTCCCGCCCAGCTGCCCACGGTGCCCCAGGCTCTGCCGCTGGGGTGACGCTGGGGCAGGTGACTGTGGAGGCTCCGGGTGAGGCAGCACCAGGGCCCGAGGGTACAAACGTGCACCCCAGGGTGGGCACTGAATGCAGGGTGAGCCGCGGCCATTGCTGTCACCGAGCTGGCCGCGTCCCTGACGACCTGGGGGTGGGGTCCACACGGAGCCCTGCCAGGTGTCGCTGGGGGCTTAGGCCTGCGGCTCTGTTCCCGCAGGGGAGTGTTAGGGCTCCGAGCGGGTGTGGGGAGGGAAACCAGCTGAAGGGACCCGGGGTGTCTCCCTTTCTTCTACACCCTGGATCTCAGTGTCTCAACCCTCTTTTCTCGGGGGTCCTCTCCTTGCCTCGAGACACCCGGGAAGAACCCCGCGGGGACTCAAGGGACACCTTCTGTGGCCGGGACCGTGGCAAGATCGAGGGTCCCTGCTCTGCCTGGGAAGGTGATGGGAAGGGAGCCCGCAGTCAGCCAGCACACGAGGGCCCACGTTTGATTCCTGTCCTTGCCAGAGCGGCCGCGCTGCCCACGCCACCAGCCTCCCCAGCTCGTCCGGTTGTTTATGGCCCGCGGGCGGGGGTGGGGTGGGCTGGCGGGAGGAAGAGTCGCAGGAAGGGGGTGCCGGCAGCTATATTAAGGCTCTGGGTCCTGACAGCTTCCGGTGCTAAAGGGGCACTGGGGAAAAGGCTTAAATTAGCAGCAACGCCCATGCCCAGAGGTGGGGCGCCCGGCCCACCTCATCCTGGGCACGACACATTTAAAAAATGACAAAAACAGGGAGGAAGTCACTGCTTCCTTCCCTTTTTGTTAACCCTCCCCCCTCCCTGTCCAGGACCCCTCTTCACAGGCTGGGCGCCTGGGGGCTGGGGCACCCAGCTGCTCCTGTGGGGACCTTACCTGTCCTACAGCGGACACCTCCAGGAAGCCTCCTTGGGTTGGGTAGTGGAGAATGCTGCTTCGGTACACCAGGGACTGCCAGGTATGGACCAGTTGTGTGCCTGTGTGGATCCCAGACCTGGCCATAGGCACATGGCATCCTACAGATGGGGAAACCGAGGCTCCGCCAGAAGCACTGGGTCCTGAGTGGTGGCTCTGTGAAGGTGCTGTGTTGTCCCCTCCACGCCTAGGCCCTGATGTGCTGCCATGTGGTCCTCGAGGGTGCTCTATGGCCTCCCCCCATCTCCTGCCTCTCATCTCTTTCACTCTGGGGCTGATCACCCTCTCCTGGAGCCTGAGGAAGGGCCGGGCCTGGCGGGGCAGGAGGACAGTTGCGTCCCTCCCCACAGCTGCTTGGGGCCGGGTGGGCAGAGGAGGGAACTGCCACCTGGTTCTCTCAAAGGAACAATCTGGCTCTCGTACTCAGGGACCCAGTGCCCTGGCAGGGTGGGAAGGGGCTCCGTAGACAGGTGGGAAGAGGGGCTGCCCTGCCCCACCGGGTGGCTGCTTACCCCTCTGCCTCATCTGCTCCCTTCTGAGTGGTCTCCCGGGAATGGCAGCCCAGGGTGTGTGGGCACAGAGATGAGATGGCAGCAAGCTCCCCACAGCCTGTGACAGAGGTGTGATGTCCGGGCTGAGCCCCATCCCCCCGGCACATCTGCCCACAGGCAAAACCCTGCAGGTACAACTCTGTTCCCACCTCTCCTGCCCGGTCTGCTTTCTGAAAGTGCTGGCTGTGACCCATTAGACAGACTGCACCCTGGGGTCTTCCTCTGCAGCCTGGCCTTGGCCACTCGGTTCCCAGTGTGGCTATGCAGGCACCCTAGGTGCTGGCCACCATGCAGGCTCCCAGACCCCAAGAGTCTGCATTTAACGTGCCCATTGGTTCACCCAGATCTGGGCGGCCCCTGCTGAAGCCCTCCATGTAGCAGGGTGGGGGTCCTGACTCACAGATGGGGCCAAGGCCCTGATGTTAGTGACTTTCTGTGGACATCTAGAAGTGAGAGGTGCCAGCCCTGGCCTGACTGGGGGCCCAACTCATGCCTTGTGTCCTCCGGGCTCATCCTGACACTGCCTGACTGCCCGATGACCCACCGTGAGGAGCATGAGAGCTACATGGGGACACGGGCTCCCAGTGCCCCAACCCACATCTTGGTCCCTGTCCCCTCACCACCGGCCAGTGCAGCAGTACGAGGCAGGGCAGTGTCCCAAACCCCCGTCCACCTGACCCGGGAGCGAGGACCTCTCCAAGTGTGGGCACCCAGCCGACCCCAGGTTCCTCCCCCATGCTGGCAGGGGGCCTCAAAGGCCGTGTGCTTAACGGACTCCTGATCCACTCGGAGTGGCCAGTGAGGTCCAGCAGACCAACACGTGGAGACGGCCCAACTGAGCACCAGACTGGGGGCTGACCTTGCCTGCAGGGATGGGGCTGGAAAACCTCATAGGCGTTTGGGAAAAGGAAATGTAAAATCAATGTTTTTATTTTACATTTTTTCTCACGGCATCATTTGTCTTTGATAAAAAAAAAAAAAAGATCAGATCACATGTGAATTGTGCAGCTCGAACTCCAGGTGCCTGCTCAGGACAGACAGATGGACGGACCCATTCTGGAAGCTGGCACTCGCAGCTTCTCCAGTGGCTCATGGTGCAGCCGTCCAGCAGAAGCGAGGATGTGGCCCCTTGGCCTGGTGAGCCCCACTCCCACCCCTCCCTATCGCCTCCCTGGCTCCCGTGGGCAGAGCTGTCTTCTGCCAGCATGACCTGCTGATTTGTCACCCCACTCCGGGAGGGAAGGGCTTCTGTAAGTAAAGCAGTGTTATTAACAATTCCACTGGGGCAACAAACGAAGCTGGACTGACCCCAGGTGAGCCAGGACATGTGGTCACCCGCCCACTGGCCCTAATAGAACCTGTGAGGTCAGCATGGGGCCCCAGGTCCTGTACTCTGCCTGTCAGAAATGGTCACGACACACAGATTCAGTCAGCATGAGGACCCTTACTGCCCCCTTTGGGAAAACCATCCAAATAAATACACAAGTAGATGATGACTATAGCGTGAGTGGCTTGTCCTTGCGGTGGCATCCTGGTACAGTGCACGACCTAGACATCTGTCCCTGGCAGTCCTTCACTCATAGGAGGGGAAGTTCTCCGTGCCGTAGCTCTATCCATCAGATGAGAGAAAGGGACAGATCCTGAGGCTCGAGGAGGTGTCATGTCCAGCCGCTCCCTTCATTCACACTGTGGGCCTGACCTCAGCATTTCATTTGTGATCCTGGATTCATAGTAGGAGATTGGGGTTTTCCCCAACTTCTGTAACGTGTAAACATGGTGATAGCAAATGTTGACAAGAGAACTCAAGTTGGCAATGGGCGCCCCAGGTCAGCCTTGGCTGGAGTGGCCGGGCCAGACCTGGCACAGCATTTGGGAGAGTCCCCTGCTATCTGCGGTGGGGGCTCAGGCCCTTCTTTTCAGCCTTTCTCCTGCTCTGAGGCCCGACTCCTGTCTGTACAGAGGCCTTCCCCTCACCATGACGAGGGATGCCCAGCGCCTCAAGGTCCCACTGGCTTGTCTCTTCTGGTGGGTGGGCCCGGTGAGATCTCTCCGCTGTGCTGGACCCCAACGGGCAGTGAGATGGGTCTGTTGGGTGCCCGGGGACCTAGGCCAAGGCCAGCGCACACCAGGCCTCCTGGTGCAGGGCCCCGCTGAGGCCAGCCTGGGGGCCCACGGCTGCGGAAGGGAAGGCAAAGTCCTCGGGCTCGAATTTGAACTCCAAGTGGCTGGGGGCCAGGGGGTCGTCCGCCTGGCTGGAGGCCTGGAGGGAGAGCAGGGGATTATGGGAGTGCAGGAACAGGAATGGCCAGCTGGCCTCACTTGGGAAAGGAGCCCTCACAACCGGGTCATTTGCCTTAAGGGGCCTCTGAAGGGATAGTGTCGGGGCCTCCTTGCGATGGGCAGGATGACATGTGCGGCTCGAAGCCTGGAGTCTGCCGCAGGTCAGCTGCTGGTACCAGTGACCACCTGTGTGCCCAGCCCTGCACTCCTGGGAGAGACCATGAGGGCTGAGATGGGGTCTGACCTGGTCAGGGAGTTGGGGTTCCTTGAGGAGTAGCCGGGAGCCAGCTCTGGGCATCCCACTCTACCCCAGCTGCCTTACCTGGGAGGTGACGTTGGACCCAGGACATGAAGGGGACGCCAGGCTAGGTTTGGGTTTCAAAGCAGCTGCTGGGCTCTCAGGGTCCGGGACGGAGGGTGGCGAGGCTGTGCTGTTCGCTGGGCATCCTGGAAGGTGGGGCGTTTACAGAAGCTGCCAGACCGAGCTGCCCGGGCCAGTTAATGAGAGGGCCTGGGTGTGGCATCCTCAGCTTGCCTCCGGCCCCAGCTGGGTGGGCCCACACCACTGCCCCCAGGCCAGTCGCGACCAGGGCAGAGTCGGCGTATCTGCACTTTGGGAGGACAGTGCTTGAGCCCAACATGTAACTGTCTAACGGGGGAGACTGAGACGCTTGCAGTGACTAACGGGGCGAGGCGGGGGGCTGGGCTCCCTCCCGCGACCCGCCAGGCCCCGCCCCACGCACCCGAGGAGCTCTTGGTCTTCGCAACGCTCTTGGGTTTCCGCTTCCGCGTCTGGATACTTTCCTTCTTCATAGCCAGGGGCCGCGGCACCTGGCAGGGGCGGGCAGGGGTGGGCAGGGGCCTCGGCTAGTCCCGTCCCTGCCCATCCCCAGGCCCCTCGCACGGCCACAGGCCCTCGTGTCAGCCTGCGGAGCCACTCAGGGAGCCGAGTGGGTCCTCAGAGCCCCATCTGGGGCGCAGCTGGCCCTGGCGTGGCCCCTTCCTCCAGGCAGGGGGGCAGGAGCTGGTCCAGGCCCGAACCCCCCAGAGCTGTAGGGGTGCAGACACCACACCAGGGGCCTAGCCCCCCACCCCCGGGGGGGGCAGACAGTAAAGGCAGAGGCGCAGGCAGTGGGTGGTGGCCACGTGGGAAGCACGCCCCACCCCTCCCTGCCTCCCCCGCCCCCACAGCAGCAGCCGTGCCCCCTGCGCCCCCCGCTCACCCCATGCAGCTTCATGTAGAGGCCGCAGGCGTTGCACACCGGCTCCCCATCCGCGTTGCGCCGCCACAGCGTCGTCGTGGTCGTGTGGCAGTTGGTGCAGCAGAGGCCCGCGCGGCGGGATGAGGACTGTGGACGGGGGGAGGCCCATGTGAGCGGGGGCCCTGGGCTCTACCAGCGGCACTCAGGACGGACCCGCAGCCAGTCTGGGACCATGTGGGACCGGGAAAGGAGGCTTCGGGGTGCCAAGGTCATCAGGTCGGCCCCCACAGGGGCCTGCATTCCTTGGAGCTTTGACTCCCTGCACCTCAAACTGTAGGACAGGTCACTTCACCACTCTGGGCCTCAGTTCCCCCCCAGTAAAAAAGGGTGAGAACAGACCCAGCAGTCCTGGGGTCAGGACCCCATGAAGAACACAACACAAAAAGGCGATTGCTTTCTGGTGCTCTCTCTTTTTCACGGCCAACGCGGCTTCACCCCAGGCTGCTGGGATGGAGCAGAACCCCCACCCCCAGGCCACAAGGTCCCCCCTGGAGCTCAGGCCCCAGGCTAAGCAGGCAGGGCACCCGCCTCCCAAGACAGGATCTAGAGCGCGTGCTCAGCGCAAGCTCTCTCCAGCTGGCGGCAAGCTGAAGGCAGCAGGCTGGGCCCCCACACCTCCCTCGTGATCATCCCCATCCAGAACTTTCCTGAGGCCCTGACATTCCAAAGGCCTCCCTCCTTCCCACATATCCCTGCAGCACTGACCCCCAATTCTGCAGGTCTCATTGGGCCAGAGACCTCAAACCTCTCTGCACTTGGGGGCCTGGCAAGGCCCAGACGCCACCAGCTCCAGGGACTCTAAGAGAGTGGCTCATTCAGGGCTTAGCAGTCTGGACCTAAAAAAGCTTGGGACGGGGCTCTGCCAAGCTGGCCAGCTGGGGTGGGCCTGACACAGGGGCTCTCCTGCCTGCTCAGGATTCCATGAGCAGCCAGAGCCCAGCCTGCCTCTCTGTTGGATGGGTTGGGTCACCTGCCCTCTGGGACCTCCAGGATGGGGTGCCAGCCACCTCTCCCTGCCCCAGAGGCACCTCGGACCTCAGACTGAAGCCCTTCCCTGTACCCCTCAGCACAGCCTGCTGGCAGATCCAACCTGCCCAGACCCCGGGTTTCATCTTCGGGGAGCACCACTGTCTTGTTCTCATCCCCCGTCTCGGCCCTCAGGTGTCTGAACCTGCCCAACCGTCCCGAAACTTGCACCGAGGCCCCAGTCCAGGTCCTTGGCCCCCTCACCCAGACCACAGCGGTGGGACACGGGGTCTCTGACCCATCTTCCCCACGACACCGGGGTCAGACTGGGCCACATCTGACCCGATGTTTCAGTGGCACCCGGGGGCACCAGCACAGAAGCCCATGAGAACCTTTTATCCAAATCGTCCCAACGATGTATTTCCTCTTCTTGGGGTTCTCCAGGATGGAGCTGGGGGTCAATCAAAGGTAAGGGGGCCAAACGCAGCCACAAAAGGAACGTGCCCTGGGTTAGGAGTGGCGGACAGGGGGCCAGGCTCAGCCTCCCTCTCTTCCAACAGTCTCTAGGATCCTTCCTTCTGTAGTGGCTGAGTGTGGCCGGCACCCCCAACCAGCTCCTGCCCACCCCCTTCCCCAGGCTGTGGTCAGCTGGTCGGGGGCACAGGCCTGCCCCCAGGGATGGCCAGGAGGGAGAGCAGGAGCCCGTCTCAAGCCCTCTGCCCAGCCATAACCAAGAAAAGTCAAGACATGAAAATGCCTCCTTGCCCTCCCCTCCCCTCCCCTTCCAGCTGTGGGCAGCCGCCATGGGCTCCGGAGAACTCTAGCTGTTTATCGGAAGGCTTGGCCTCCAGGTTCCAGCCAGGCTCTGGGACAAAAAGGCCAAAAGGGAAGAAAGGGACGAGGCCTTGGAGACTCTAGATGAGCACTGGGCCAAACCTGTGGCCCTGACTGGGGAAACCTCCCTGGTGTCTCGCCTCCCAGGGATCCCCGGCTGTCTCCCCGGGAGCACCTGGGGCTGGGACTCACGCAGGAGCTAGTGTGGACAAAGCTGGCGCCCAGCTCAGGCCCCAGCAGGACCATAAGGGAAATGGTCGCTGCAGCCTCCGCCAGGCAGCACATGTGCCCACAGGCAGGAGGGAGTTCCGGACCCGGGGTTGACCAGGGTCCCCAGCCTGACCTTGCCTAGAAAGAAGCAGCTTTCACTGGAGATGATCTGGGTGTTCTCTCCCTGTCCTCTCCCCCTCCCTGCCCTGTCGCTCTCTCCCATCTGTCTCCAGGTGCCAGGAACTATGCACACAGCCAATCCCCCCGGCCCTCATGAGGCGGGGTCCCTGCCGCCCACAGGCCATCCTCCTTCCTACAGTGGGAGAAGGCCCTGGGACCTGCCCCAGGCCCCAGGCCCCAGGCCCAAGGCTGCCCAGCTCCATGTGAACTTTGGACAAGCGGCAAGTCCAAGTTTGCCCCCATGCAGTATTTGGGACCTACTTCCTCTAAAATCCTAGTTGCGGTTTGTCTGAGATCCCCATACCCGAGGGTCCGGTATTTGAATCCGGCGGGGTCCCCCCTTCTGCTGCGTCTCCGCTCTCCCCATCCTGCTGGGACCCTCAGGCACTCTCACCAGGCTTTGCTCCCTGCCAGCCCGCCTTCCGGAGAAACCGCACCCCGTCAGCCCCTCGTCACCTTCCTACACACACGCTGGCTGGCACGGACGTGCTCACGCCGAGCCTTGAACACCAGGGCTACTTTTCAGTGGCACTCGCGAGCACACACACTCAGGCTCGCGTGTCCCTCCCACAAATGTCCCGCACGTCTCAGAAGAAGGAGAGCCACGGGGGCCCTGAGACACAGGTGTGCAGGCGGCGGGTGTGCACGCAGCAGCCCCAGCGGCTCACGACGTCGCTCTGCACCCTGGGAGTGCGAGGGAGACGGCGGAAACCCGGGTGAGGAGTGAATTATTTTTTAGTGAACATAAATTAAAATTAAGACAATGGAAAAAAATTTCAAAGTGTTTGCTTCTTTCTATTTCCTCTCCTGTCATCGGGTCGCGCGGTCCACAAGGGACACGGAGGCGGGAGGCGCTGGGTGGACAGAACCTCCTCCCTCCTTTGAGCACACGTCCCCGACACGTCCCCGCCGCCGTCCCTCCTGTCTCCGCCCGTCCTCGTTCGCTGCCCGGACAAGCAGCTGGGCCTGGCCGCTCTCAGGGCCCCTTGCTGCCAGGCCTCCTCTGGCTGAATATCGTCTTTTTTTTTTTGGCCTGTTCTTTTCAAAAGAAGTTAAACTTCAAAGCCTGCTCGCTGCACCCGAGAGCTGCCCCAAGCTCCAGGCCCTGGCCCCGCCAGATTCAACGGAAGAACTGGGGGCACTGGGCAGTGTGGAGCCAGGGGCGGGGCCTGCGGAGGGCGAGGAGCAGGGGGCTGGCTGTGCAGCTTGCAGGGGTGAGGCGAGACTGAAGCGGGGTGGTAGGGAGTAGTAAGCACCTCGGCTCGCAGAAAATGGCCCAATTTGGAGGGGGTCCTCCCACGCTCTTGGAAAAGAGCGCATGGTGGACACATTACCTGGTAACGCGTGTCCCCTGCTGTTCAAGGGCGAACCGAGCCAGGGACGAGAGCTGTGAGGCGGGCCACGCAGGAAGGAAAACCCAGGGTCCTCATCAAGGCCTGGATTCGCTGGGCGAAGGCTGCCGGGCCCCGTGCGGCACTGGCCACTTCCCGGAGCTGGCGTCAGCCGTCCCCTGGCCTTGGCTGCAGGGCTCTGGCGTGCGGGGGGAGGGGTGCCAGGGGCTCTAGAGCACTTGGCCATGCAAGCGGGCATGCAGCGGTCTGCAGAGCCACCTCAACTACCCACTCGTCCACACCGACAAAAGCCTTGGGTCAAGAGTTTCCGCCTGCACCGAGGATACATGTGGGACGCAGAGGGCAGAAGGGATATGAGCTCCTGCTGGGAGGGGGACGCTCGCTTGTTACTGACGGCCTTCTAGAACTGTTTTAGTCATTGAAAAGGAGGTTGGGACAATTGTCTCCCTGGGCATCAGTTCTGGCCACACGTGAGGGAGAGTGAGGCACTGGTGGGGGCAAGTCTGGGGCCACTGGCCAGTCCCCCATGGAAGGGAGCCCTGTGGGCCAGGCTCTGGTCCCAGGACTCTCTGAGAACCTCCGAGTTTCCGCGTGAGCCTGGCCCCGCTGGGACCGGCCGCGGGAAGCGGCAGGGCAGCCCTCCCTGACTGCCAGGCAGGAACCCAGAAACAAGCCAGAGGAAACCCATTCGGGCAGCTCGAGGACAGACAGGAGTAGGACAGCTCCGTGAACAACCCCATGGCCCCCAGTCCCACTTGGCAAACACTTCCCAGGTATGTTCTGCACTTAGATCTGCCTGGACAGGGACACAGGGCCACCGGGCTGTCTACCCTCCGAGGCCTGCGGTCTTGGGGAGATCGGCAGCATGAAGGAGCTCTCCCAGGAAGTATCTTAAAGCTACATTCTCCGTGTCCCCAGACTAGCAGGCAGAGACCTCACCAGGCCAGAGGCCATGTCCTCAGCCAGTCCCCTGAGCGGGCCGAGGCCCAAGTGCCCTGCCTCATTTGATCTTTACTACACAGCACGGGGACAGTGTGTGTGTGTGGAAGGGGCTGGGCCAGGAGACCCAGGACAGGGCCAGCAGGCTCCTGGGGAGCGGATTGTGCATGGGAGCAGGAGGCAGGCAGTCTTGGCTGGAGCCCGGGGCTCTCTGAGGGTCTCTGAGCCCCAGGGGTCATCACCCAGCAGTTACAAAGGTAACTACCTCAACGCTATCTCACCCCCAGGCCAGGACCTTCAGCAGGGAGGAGAGCCCTGTGAGAGGTGGGGGGCAAAGGCAGGGAGGCCCCACACCTTTTCCTATTTACCAGTGTGTCCCCCTGGGAGAGAGTGGATGGAGCAGGGAGGGGCTGGGCTGGGGCTGCAGTCCCCCAGGACACTTATGCTTTCAGCCTCAGTTTCCCTCTCAGCGAGGGCGACATCAGATGCCAAGCTGCTGTGGCCCATAGCGGGTCAGGGGGAATGACCACGGGGGCAGGGATAAAAGTGAGGGGGCGACATGCATTCTGAGTTACCCCAGAAGGCACAGTGCGGTGGAGGGTAGTTGGGGGAGCCCCAAACGCCAGGCTAGATCAGGGGAGAAAAATGGTGGTTTCCCCCAGACAGCCTGAGTCAGTCCTGCTTCCCGCCTGCCTGGTCAGGGGCCTGGAAGGGTGGGGGGCTCCCGTGGCCCAGGAGTTGCCTTTTCAGTAAAGTCGGGCTCCTGAGGACCATGCAGACCCGGGGGTCGGGGGACCAGCCCCCTCATTCCCACTGGTCCCAGGCACCAGAACCGGCCAGAACCAGCTGACTGGCCCTGAAAGGGTTCATGGGTTCATACCAGCATGAGACCAGAAGGGGAGGAACCCCCAGACACAGCCCTGCCCAGACCTCAGACCCCAGAGCGGCTCTCAACAGCTTGCAAACAAAGCAGGCCCTTGCTCTTAACAGAGTCCGTGAACATCCGAGTTTGCCTGTGGGACGGTGTGCGATATAGTAACTTTAAACCCTTACACAGCTTCCGGCGACTCTGCCCTGCTGGGGGCAAAAGTCAAGCTCCCAGTCCCCCACTCTGCACCCTGCCACACGCCGGAAGAAAACAAAAGTGAAAACAAGTTCTGCGCCTTGAACAACTATAACCCGGTCTCAGCCCCAACCACCTGGTACAGGGTAGAAAGTGCTCCCCAAGAGGCAGGGCCCCAAAACGCCCCCCTGTACAGAATTTCAGCTGCCTCCAGCCAAGCAGCACCTTCCCCACCAGCCCCCAGCCCCAGTCACCTTGTGCCCCTGCCACCGTGGGAGCCCCAGGGCGGAGCCCCGCAGGCCACTTGGGACCCGGGTTGTGCCCCTCTGTCCCTGTGGGTGGAGCCGCAGGGCAGGTCCTGCCGTGGGTCCTGGGCCTCCCGGCTCCCCAGTACAGTCCCAGGGCCACCCGCCCATGCCCGCGGGAAACCAGGCTGCCCTGTTCCTGCCCTTCCCGGCCCCACACCCGGTGCGGCTTGCAGGGACTGCAGGGACTCTCGGGCCTGGCTGCGCACTCACCAGGCGCTTCTGCGGGCGAACCAGCGGCCGGTTGACGCCGTTCATCTTGTGGTAGAGGCCACAGGCATTGCACAAGTAGTGACCAGTGCCATCACGACGCCACAGCGGTGTGGACAGGGCCCCGCAGTTGACGCACTCGCGACCCTCGCCGGGGAGCTCTTCCAAGAAGTCCGACACTGCGGGGACGGGCAGCTCGTGGGCCGGGGCTCTGGCCTCCCCTGAGCCCGCGGGTCCGCAGCTGCGTTTCCTTGTCTGGTGTGCACCCCGAGTTTATTGTATTTCAAAATTGATTGTATCCGATTTTAACTCTTAACTTTACATACAATAAAATTTGTGCCAGATTAAAAAGAACTGCTGGGTTTGCCTTCAGAAGGGCAGGGCAGGGGTGGGGGGTGGGGGGAGAAGGTTAATAAATCAAACCTCAGGGTGCACAGCAGGGGAGCCCCCCCCTGGAACTGGGGTGTAATTTCCATCCCCAAAGGAGGCAGGAACGGCCTTGTTCTCAGCAACATTCACAAGGGGCCGTGGTGGTGACGCTGAGGGCACGGGGACATCCCACTGGGGCTGGGGGCCCTTCACTGTCAGCTTCATGGTGGGGGCAACCCTGTCACCACCAGGGACCCACGCGGGGGAAGGGGGACGGCAGGGGCACTGGGCCAGGCACTCTGTGGGGATGGGGTGGGGATCAGTCATTGTGGGGACACCCTGGGCTCCGGGGGAGGGGACCTGCTTCCTGGGTGGAGAAGCCAGTGAGGGCCAAAGGCCCACAAAGGAGAGTGGGCCAGTGAGGCCTCCTCCAGCCTCGAAGCAGGACCTGGTCCCTTGGGCAGCAAATGCGGGTCAGCAGGGCCCTCCGTGTTCGGCTGCAGGGGTGAGACTGGGTGGCTGCAGGGGTGAGACTGGGTTCACAGAGTCGGAGACTCACAAACCAGGTGGGGCAAATCTCCGCTTTCCAGGCACCTTTCCAGGCACGGAATCCGATTATCCAAATTTATACCCCAGGGGAGCAATTGAAACCGGGTCTCAAATTAGAATATGTAAACATTCTAGACCAGAGATGGACGTGGCAGCTTACTTACATAAACTGGGATTTTGAGTTTTATAAAAATCACTTCCAAAACTTTTCCTAAGAGCATCTAGGAGGTAGGCTTTAAATTGGCACGATCCGGAATGGGGAGCTCAGGTGAATGAAAGGTAGAAACACTTCGTTAGGAAGGTGTCAGAGTTCAGGACCCGTGTTTTTCGGCTCAAGGAGCGCTAGAGTGTGGCGGAGATCACCGTCTGCCTGGGTGTACATGTCCCCGCAGTTCTGGGCCCCACAGGGAAGCATTCATTGGGTGCGCGCTTGCACCCCTGGGGGACCAGTACCCCAGTCTCACACTCACCGAAGGAGGCTCTGCGGCTGGGGAGGCCAGCGGGGCGGCTCTGGAGGCCGTGCAGGACGCTGCCTTCGAAGGGTCCCGGGGTCCAGGACCGGGCCACCTCTGTGCTCACGTAGGCCGGGTAGGCAGTCGGGTAAGAGGCGCTCACTGGCCGCCCGAGCGGGGTGGGGTACTGATCACGCGCCAGCAGTGGGCCCTGGTAGGCGCCACCGTCCCGGGTCGCTGCGCTGCCACCGCCGCCGGGCCCCGGGGGGCTGTGCGGGAAGGGGAAGGCGGTGGCTCCGGGCGGCTGAGCGGCCGGTGGGTGCGGGCTGCCGGGGCCGAAGGCTGATGAGTCTGCGGCCGCCGCCTGCGCCCATCCGGGGTGCGCGGCCAGCCCCGGGGCCTGCGGGCCCGGCTCACACGCCGGCAGGTAGGGCAGCATGGAGGGGACACGCGCGGGCGGCACGAACACCGGGGAGCCGGCACCTGGCGCGTGCAGAAAGGCGCCGGAGTCGGCGTAGGCGGCCTGGCCGGGGCTCGGGGCCAGCGCCAGGCTCTGGTACATCTTCCCCGCCGTGGCCTTGACCTGCAGGGAAGAGGGACGGGCGTCGAGTTCGCGGCCGCTGTGCACCCCGGCCGGCGTCCGAGCTCGTGCCGCGCTGCCCCCTCCCCAGCCCGCCGTGGGGTCAGAACGGCGGAGCGCCGGTGGCCCCGAGCGGTCGGCTGGACAGCCCTGGCGCAGCCGCCCCGCTGAGCTCACCTCCTCCACGGCCGGGCCTCGGAGCTTCCCGGGGTGGGCGCGGCGGGTGCCCAGAGGGAGCGGCCGCGCGTCCGCGGGGCCTGGGCGCGGGGGCCCCGCCGCGCTGGGAGCGGGCGCCGGGCGGGACCGGGGTTCTCCCGCGGAGGGCGCGGCGGTCTCTGCGGGCCGGCGACGAGCGGGCTGGAGACTGGGAACCCCGGGCCGCGCGGCTCCTTAGGGAATCCCGGGCGCCCCGCCGCGCCTCCGCGCCGCCCCGCCCGCCCCGGCGCCCCTCCCCTCCCCTCCCCTCCCTCCACTCCCCTCCCGCGGGGTCAGCGCTGGGGCTGCGGCCGCGGCGCCACGTGACCCGAGCAGGCCCGGCTCGCGGGGCTCAGCGGGAAAGGGGTCGGGACTGGGGCGCGGGGCGCCAGGCACCCGGCAGCCGGCCCCGGCTCCAGCGGGAGGGAGGAGCCGGCCTGTGCTCCGTCGGGCCCCGGGCTAGCTGGGACGCGGAAACGTCCCTAAATTTGTTCGGGGGACTCGCGGATGCGCACGCCTCCCTCCTCGCCCGCGGCTCCCACCGAGGCGGGCCCCGTGTCGTGTTGGGTTCCTGCGGACGAGCCCGAGAGCCGATCCGCCGCGCTGCGGCACATGCGGTGGTGGCGCTCCGTCGTTGTGCCGCTGGATCCGGGGCCCAGCGCCAGGATCCGGCTCCCACGGGGACGCTCAGCTCGGTGTCCTTGGGCTCCACCCGGGTTCACGAGGGCCACCCCGTGCGCGAAGTGCTGCGGGAGTCCCACGGTTCCAACGTTTCTGACCAAGCAGGGCAACTTCGGGCGCGATCCCAGCGTGGGGGTGGGGGTCGGGGGTCGGGGGCTTGGGGTCGGGGGCTCCGGGTTGGCAGGCGCGACCTGGATTCTTGGCTGCAGTCCCTTTGCCCCAGGCCCCAGCCGCGCTTCTCGCCTCTGCCCCTTGGTGGGACCTTTCGCTGGGCCCTGGCGGTGGCGCGCAGTGGGGCCGCAGGAAGACATCCTCCAGGAGCCAGAAATGTGGGATGGGTGGGGGGGGCCTCAAGGTCATGGAGGTGCCCCCTGGCATTCCCTGGGTGGACCCCGTGGTGGTAGCCCTGGGGCAGAGGGGGCCTCTCTGGGGCCTCCACAGTCCCCCAGCCCTCTGAGGGGACCGCTACAGCGGATGTGGGGTGGCGCTGGCTGGGCAGGGCTTGGCTGGGGTGCTGGGGCTGCCAATGTTCTAAGGGACGGGTCCTTAGCCCCTCCCTGGTGGGTGAGACCCCAGGGGCTGTGGGCCTGGGGAGGGTGCAGGGGTCCCTGCGCGCCCCTCTTCTGCACTCTCCCAGCTGATAGCAGCCAGGAGTTAGGGGTGCATGTGGAGGCATCCAGGGCGAAGGTGGCTGGGCTGCCCCAGGAAGGACTGTTTTGGAAGCCTGGCTGGAAAGGCCCCCCGCACACACCCGGGTTGGAGACCCCACAGAAGTTTCCAGGGCAGGCCCTGGACTCTCCACAAGCCTTGCTGGGGTGCCAGGGGGAAGGGGAGCAGGTAGCCTTCGATACAGCCCCTCCCCCATGCTCTCCTGCCTGCCCGCAGGACCCCCATCCACCTGCCGGGAGGGACTCCTGTGACGCCTGCTCTCCCCACGAAACCTTCTGGGGTCTGAACGGAGGGGCCCCTCCTAACCCCACCCCTCTCCCCCTCCAGACTTCGCCAGTGGATCTTTCTTTCTTTCAAAGTGGGCCCCCCAAGAAGTGTCCCCGTACTACTCCGGGTCCTAGAGACTGTGTACCAGGGGAACTTTGCAGCACTAGAGGACCCCGAAGTGGGCTGAACCCCTACTCCTCCTGCCCTCAGAGCGCTTACTGAGATAGTGGACCTGAAACAGAAGCTGCCCTCCAGCGCCACTGGGGGTGAAGAGAGAGGCGAGGAGGGAGACCTCACCCCACCCCCTGGATGGGGGGCATGGGGGCGGGGCTTGTATAAATAGACTGCAGTCAGGTCTGGTCTGAGTCCGGCATCAGCGGGGGAATCAGCTTTGTCCTCTGAGGTCTCCTCTTAATCCTCCCGTTAGTCTTGGGATGTAGATGACGTTATTATCATTCCCAAGTCCCAGAGAGGTTAGCTCACGTGCCCAAGGTCACCCAGCTAATAATTAAACCAGGTAATTAAAACAAACGAAGCTTGCAAAATTTTGCACAGGAGGTGATCTCTGGTGGTTTTTTCTGTATTCCCAAATCTCCCAAATGGACGTGCATTAGTTTTACAATTAAAAGGCTGAGACTCTTCTCCCAGCAGAATATGTGGGGGGGAGGGCAGGAGCGGCCTCTGAACCCTGGTCTCCAAGGAGGACGTTTGCTCCTTGAGGCCTCGGCGCTGGCTGGACACCACACAGGGCAGTAAGCGTCTGGGGCGGAGCGGTGGGGTGTGTGGGACCACAGCCCCTCCCCCCCTCAGCTGGCATGTGTGCTCACCTCCCAGAGCCGTGGAAGCAGGGGCTGCGCCCCCCACCCCACAAGGCTGCAAACCTTGCTAACCATCACCGCCCTGTGGGGGACACGGCGGGGGGCACTGGTTGTCTGTGGCAGCATCGGGACGTCTTCACAGATCTCTTCCACTTGAACCAAAAAGAAAGGCATCTCAGCCCAAACTGCCAAGCCCAGGTCCTTCTCCACCCCACCCCTGCCTTGCCCAGCCTCCCCCCACCCCCACAAATGATGTTCTGATACTAAGGGACCCCATCACCCTTCTGTGTAGCTGTCCCTCCTCTGGAGGGAGCCAGGTGCCCCAGTCTGCCAGGACCTCAGTCCCCCTGCTCGTCTGTCCAGCTATGAGCCTGCCTCTCCCCGAAGCCTTTGCCCGTGCGCAGCTCCCCAATGTGGAAGGCCCTTCCTCTGCCCTCTTCTTTACTTGCGGAACTCCTGCACATCCCTCAAGACTCAGCTTGCAAATCCCTTTCTGTCTGCAACTTTCCCCGATAAATTGTCCTTTCCCTTCCCTTGTGCCTCATCACGTTTTGTGGTTGGGGGGCTGTGTTCCTGCTTTCCCTTCTCTGCAGACAATGGGCCTCAGAGAAGGCTTTGGGACCAGGAGGTCAGAGTGTGAACAGGAAGCAGTTAGATCTTCAGGGCTCTGCTTTACCATCTCAAGTCTGTGTGACCTTGGGTGAATTACTTTCCTCTCTGTGCTCTGCTGCTCCGTAATGTGGGGTGACAGGTTTTGGAAGGGATAGCGGGGTGAGGTACAGCAGCCATCTGCCCCAGGAGGGTCCTCTGTGGGCAGTAGGCAAACGCAGAGGGAAACCCGGTGAGCGGAGCAGAGCGCTGGGGCCCGGGGTCGCAGCTGCGGCCAGCTCGTGCTCCGGGGACCCTGAGAGCTGGGCCGGGGAGGCACAAGAAGGAATGTCAGCGGCAGAGGTCAGCTGTGACTGTCCCCTCCTGGCCGCTAGTCTTCCCTCTCTGGGGATGGCTGGGGTGGCTAGGGGTAGGGGGGATCCATCTCTGATATGGGGATCCCACACTTGTGCAATAAGAGGTTTGGCCACCAAGCCCCTGGTGACCAGGCAGAATGGAGTTCCTTTTCCAGGGCTGTGAGGAACTGTGTTCAGGGGCCTTGGGGGTGGTGGGTAGATTGCCAGAGCTAAGATGTTGGGAGGATCCCCGGCCTCCCAGGCTCCGGGTTTCACTGGCCCAGCAGCTGCTTTCTCCCAACCCTGGAGCTCAGGAATTACTAAGTCAAACACAAACACATATATCCACTGAAGAGAAAACAGTTTCCATTGTTGGCGGGGCAGGGGGGTAGAAGGGAGGGTTAGAGCCTCTGAACCTGCTCCCCAGAGGGACCCAGGCCTTGCCTCACCCCAAGACCAAGGGGTACCAGCCCCTATCCAGGGATGACCCCAGGCGGGGTTCTCACTGTGCACAGACTGACTCGTGGCCCAGACAGCTCTCTGTCTGGCGCAGGGGAGGGATGCAGTGCCTGGGAAGCAGGCCTGGGGGTGTCCTGTGTGCATCACCCACAGGAGTGGGGCAGATCCTAACCTTGCCTGAACCCCAACCTCCAGGGCCTTGCCCCTCCTGCAAGTGTTGTGTGGGGGGCTCGGGGTTGGGAGGGGCTGGGAGCTCAGAAGTCCTCCCCAGTCACTCAGGGAGGCCCCATGGCCCCCTCTCCCCACGGTGGTGAACAGCCAGTTCAAAACCCTTTCAAGGAACTCTACCTCTGAAACTAATAATACACTATATATAAACTAATATATATATAATATATATATAATATAAACTAATAATATACTATATGTTAATTAACTGAATTTAAATTTAAAAATAAATGCACATGTTTACTAGGAAAGAAAAACAACAAAATCCCGAAAGCCCGTTGCTTGTCCTCCAGTGGCCCCTTTTTGCCCAGGCTCCACCCTTGCACGGCTGGGACCTGGCCTGTCCCTGGAGCCCATGGCTGCCGCTTGGGGGAATGACGTGGAACCACGTGGAAGGTTCCGGGCTTTCCCCAACATGGACAACTCTGAAGCACACAACTCACCCCTGGGGACGGGGGTCAGGGAGGATGGGGGCCTCTGGGGCCAGGGCTGGGAGGGGTGGGGGTGGCTTGGGGCGGATTCCACGAGGACAGGTAAGGGGACAGCCCTGTCCTCTCCTGCACATGCTGGAGCTCCAGAGCCCAGGGGGCCTCTTGCCTGCCCCCGCCGTGGCCTGTGCCCTCTGTGCCCCGAGCTGGGGCTGGCCTTGCCACTACTGTCCTCAGGACCCGGTGGGCCTGGGCCTCGAACGTCCTGTATTTTAACTCCCCCAAAGCTCACGGCCACCTGATGAGCCACGAGTTCGCACTAGCATTTCACAGATGGGAGAACCAAGGCCTCCATGGAAGGGCTTGCCCAAGGACCAGGGCTGCGCAGAGGTGGAGGCGGGATCGGAGCTCACCAGGCCCACTTTGGGGGTCCTCTGCTTCCAGGACCTGCTTCCAGGATCTCTCCGCCCTCCGAGGGGCGTCATCGTCCCTCCTGCCCACCAGGCCGGGGGCCCCATAGACAGACTGCACTGCGGATGACCCAGGGGGCCTCGAGTCGGCTGCCGGGAAAAGGGGAGCGGGAGAGGAAAACAGTTCACAGGCCACCGTGTCATTTAT